TTTTAATCAGAGCAGTTTGGATGACCAATGTCCGCAGAGACATTGAACTTCCCTCGGCATATTACAGAAGCCCTCATTGACCATTGTGATCTGGTATGCCTAATTAGCTCACATCATGGTAAAGTTGCGACTTGAGTTGTTAGCTATGGCCCATTATGGATCTTACCCTTTTCAGGCTGCCAGCGGCCACGCACACGCTGTACTTGGCGCCTGCGCTCAGCGGTTGCCCCGCTGACAGCAACCCGTGGATTGAGTCAACTTAATTGAGCGAAACCCGCCAACTGGCGCCTTCCAGACCCTTCCGCCGCCATTTCTCATCAACCCGACATCGCCCTCTCCGATCCTGCCACCCTCAGCCTCGTGCCACCCACTGCGCCTTCACTGAGGTCTACGCAAGCTCACACCTGTCTCCGACAACTGTTCAATATTATAGATAAATAGAGAGAGAAGCCAACCACGTCATCGCAATGGCATCCTCATCCACTCCTGAAGAGACGAGCTACGTCAAGATGGACGAATCTAAAGACGGCTTCGATGAGACCCTCGTCGGCAAGCACTGCGAATACGAATACTGCAACCAGCTCGACTTCCTCCCCTTCTTCTGCCAAAGCTGCAAACACACCTTTTGCCTCGACCACCGATCCGAAACCACACACAAGTGCGCCAACGCCGGCGCCTGGGCCCAACGCCGGCGACAGGCGGAGCTCGCGAAACCTTCCTACGGTCAAGGCCGCCAACTGCGCGACACCGTCACCCAGAAGCCCTGCGCATCACCGACTTGCAAGACCACCATCGGCACCTCGCTGGTGACCGGCGTCCACTGCCCGGGTTGTAATCGCGATTACTGCCTTAAGCACCGGCTGAAGGAGGACCACGACTGCAAGAACCTCGTTCCGCTCGGCGCGCGGCCAGGATCACAGATCGACGTCGCAGCGCGGACGAAGAGCGCATTCGACAAGCTCAAGGCCTGGGGAAGTGCAAAGAAGGAACAAGCCGGCAGGGCGCTACCGAAACCGAAACCCACATCCGCGTCTGCGCGCCTGATAGCCGTGAACAACCTCAAGAAGACGGCAAAGGGCGACGATAAGCTAGCGCAAGAGAAGAGAGTCTACCTGTACGTCGAAGCAGAAGCGGCAACCGCGAAAGCAAAGTTCCCCAAGGGCGAGTTCTTCTTCTCCAAGGACTGGGTGGTGGGCAGGGTGCTGGACGAAGCCGCGAAACGGTTACAGGTGGAGAACCTCAACAACCGATCGTCGAATGAGCAGGACAAGCTACGGGTGTTCCATGTGGAGGGAGGACGACTTCTGGAGTTCAACGAAAAAGTCGGGGCTTCGCTGGTTAGCGGCAACACCGTCGTCCTGCTCCGCGGTGTCGGGCCGCCGCCTGACCTCATGGAGGTTTAGTGAATGATGATGACTTGATGAATATGTTCATAGTGGCATTTCCCGTATATACCCTCAATTACAACACCACACGCCGCCGAAAAAAGGCTGTGTCAATCGCTTCCCTTCGTGCCATGTTCCTTTAATCGGAGATTTCCTTCATGCGCCGAGCCTAATCCCATTGAGTTGTGATCCGAGCCATTTCAAACGCCACGTCTACAGTTCCTTTTCCTTCGGCCTCTTCGCCAGTAGGTCTTCACGACCGGTGGCTGGTGCATTGCCAACAAACTCCTTGCCACCATACGACTCGAAGCCCTTGTGGAAGATCCACTCCACGGCATTCTCGACCGGCTCGTCGAAGAGGCTAGGCAGGAATGGTACGACAGCAAGGCCGAGACCGATCGGGCCCCAGGTCCTTACTTTCGTGTTCTTTGCGTTCTTGAGGGCTCGGCCAGAGTACCTCACGACGCTATGGATGGTGAAAGCTGGGAGACCCATACTGGCAATGCTCTGGAAGATACCTCGCTGGATCATGACGGTCCTGTAGTCGTCCAGCGGCGCAACCTTGCCACCCGGGACCACTTCGCTGGGGTGCGTCGCATCTGACACGGCATCCGGCAGTCCCGTGATCTTTGCCTGCCGCGCCGTAAGCTGAAGGTGCGGATTGAGGACACGCTGGTTAGCCCAGTATGCCTTGTAACCCTCGTAGCTGACATCGCCGAGGATGTAGAGCCACGATATTCCGTAGGCGGTGCGGACGAGACCGGGATGCGCGACGGGCCGGAAGGATTCGCCAATATCAGAGGTGTAGGCGACGTATCGGTGGGCGGACATCATGATGGTGCGGATGCGCGTCACATAGGCGGCGTAACGGACGTTGGACTCGGTGGACTCGGGCGCACTGTCGCAGGTCAACTCAGCATTCTAGTTCTGTCGCAACGGTCGGCACTCACTACCCGTCCACCAGCTCGTCGAAGAAGTTGTCCTCTCGATCCGACTTGTCGACTATCTTCTGCAACGCCGCCGGCAACTTCTTTTGTGCCGGCAGCTTGTTGGGGTCGAACGTCTTGGCGCCATCTTCCTTTGGCGACTCTTTCGGGTGTTCCGGTGTCTTGTCCTGGCTTCTTCCCCACATGTTGTATGCTTTTGGTGTTGATGTACGGATTACTTCGTCTGAATCTGAGCTATTACCACCCAAGTTCTCTTTTGGGGGGGGTTGAAAGCTTTATGTGTGCATGGATGGCGGTTGTGCTAGGGGAGAGGAGCCTAATGGCCAAGGGGAATTCGCCCTGCGCCAGCGCGCGCCGGAAACGCCCGCGGCATGAATCTTCTGATATCGGTTGTGACGTCGGCTGCTGCTTGGTTCAGAAAGGTGCATCGGGAGCTTGAGCCACCGGGGTCACTTGCATAAACTTATCCGCTGTGGCGCAGCAGCAGTACGGGGCTACTTGTCGGTGGCTGGAGATCCCCGCTCTCCCGATACCTACTGGCCAGGCGCTCAGAGCCGGACTCGCTGGCCTGATTATCCAGGCACTCCATTCTCCAGCTTCCGAACGAATTTCGAGCTCCGAGTATCGACATCCACGACGAATCTCATCCAACTCCAATTGCCTCTACCCCATCGAACCAATTCACCCCCGAAGGATCGCAAACCCTCTAATACCGCCAAAATGGTTCAGATGTACACTATTGCCGGCCGCCAGATTGGCTCCCACTACGTATGTCGCTATCCCGAGAGCGCGCCTTCGCTCCCTGCAAATCCCGAACCCGGCCCCCGAGCATGCAAAGGCTAACCTCTCTCTCTCTCCGCGCAGCTGGCCATGGGAGTCCTCGCGACGCTCTTCGGCGGCGCTTTCTACGGCACCAGCGGCAGCAAGCCCAAGGCCACTGCCACTCCCCCCATTAACGCATCCAGCTCCGACGAGGCCGACTTCATCAAGTGCGTCATTTCCCCTGGATGGACAGGAATCCCTCCCCATTTGCTGACGAGGAGACAAATAGGAAGTTCTTGGACAGCGCGGACAAGGACGAGAAGGCGAAACACTAGACGGGCGATATCCGGGCGAGTCAATGGTCTCTTTTTGCGACCTAGTGTATTCATAGAGGGCTTGGTTGATGGGAATGAAGACATTTTCTGACCAGCAAAACACACGACGACGACATGTACCACGAGGGTGACTCGAAAGTCGATATCAATACGCATCTTTTCACGATCTTTTATCCAGCGACAATAGCTTGGACGCAAGATGGATGATTCAATTGATAGGAGGGATTACCAGGGGACCAATCTGAACTCGCCGTCTTCAAATTCCGAAAACGTTCCCGAGGCAATGGCATCCCTTTCTGATTCTAACAGTCGTGCAAAGACTTCTGCTCCATCCACCGGCTCTTTGGAGCCGCGAAATCCATTGAAAGCTGTCTTGCAATGCCCGGGGCTAGTTGCCCAGAAGACGATCTTGTCATCCGTCGTCCTTCCCTCTTCGGCCAGATGGAGTTGCAGGGTGAGCATATTTAACGCAGCTTTTGCCATGCAATAGTTGATAGATGCCGCCGGTGGAAGCTGTGCGTTCTGTGAGACAGGTTCGTTTACAAAAAGAGTTGGTCGTGATGTGCGCTTACCTCTCCGTTTGCTGTTTTTGTCATGCTGCCTCGAGCACTCGAGGTCATGATGACTCGAGGACTTTCGGACTTGCGAAGAAGAGGAAGGAATGCCTGAGTGACGATGAGATTTGAAGTGACGCAGTTTGCGAGCACAGAATTGGTTGCGGACCGAACATCGGGGAGGTCGAGTGATTCGGGAGCGGTGACTTTGGCGGCGTTATTGATCAGAACTGATGCTATGAGTAAGGTGCTCGGATTGCATTGAGAAGACAGGTGGTAACCCACCATCTAGTTTGCCGTACTTCTCGTCAACGATGGCAGCAGCGGCGACAATGCTGGCATCATCCTCGATATCAAAAGGGAGTACATCTAGAGCCTGTTTGATGCCGATGCCTCTCCATCTGCGGACCGCTTCTTCGCCAGACTCACGTGTGCGACATCCGACGAGGATGGTGGAGTTGTCGATTCTACCGGCGATCGCCTGGACAATACCAAACCCAATTCCCCTATTCGCGCCAGTGACAAGAATGATAGCCATAGTGATTGCACTGGAATACAAAATGCTTGGCATGTGAATCCTTGCAACAGACTCTATGAATGTTTTTATATCATTGCGCAGTGCTTGACGGTGTATCTCGCCATGAGTTGGTCGCCGGACTTAGTCAGTCGTACGGCCATAAACCCGATGTTGGCGCCGGGACGGCGGAGCAGGTTGTATAAGCCCGATACGGCGCCAGTAAACTCTATCCACATGATCCGCGCCGTTTCGGCCCCAGTCACGGCAGCGATACTCCGTGCCGGAGCTCACTGGAAGTAGATACATCATGGGACGTAGGATTGATCCAAAATCTTTGCGGTCTACTTCTCAGCTGGAAGTAATAGAATAATACTGTCGAGAAAGAAAGGCAAATTGTAGGAGTTTTCGGGTGTTTGCTGTAAAGGTGCTTCCTGATCTAACTGGGGCCCAAGAGGTACTTTAGCTCTGCCGGGTAGTGTCACTGATAAGTGCAACTCACCACAAACAACAACCAAGAAAACATGCGTGCAAACAGAGCATCTCCACCATGACAACGATTCAAGAGACTAACATAAAGTCCGTTGCGACTCCAGTTGAAGTGAGAAGATCCTCCTTTATGGCTCATCATTAGTGCCAATCACTCACATCAAGATGTTAACCGGCAAGTAGATAGGCGATCGTCTCAGTCCAGCGCCAGCATCACGTCCAAGTTCAAACAAGGTGAGCATCTCAACCCTCATTGAAATAGAATCTACTCTACTAAAGCTGTGTTTTACAGGCGGGCATCTCAATCATCCAGTACGACCCCGCTCTCGCCTCCATCATCGGCCCAAACCCAACTCACGCCCTCCTCCTCTCCTCGATAGAAACCTCCGCGAACGCCTTCTTCCACCGCGGATGCGTCTACGTTCCCTCCCGAAAAGAGCTATGGACGACATCCGCCCCCCTCGCAGCAACTGACCCCACGCGGCCCCCAACGATCCTCATGTCAAAGGTCAAAGTGAAACCCAACCGATCAAACGGCACCCTCGCCGTTGAATGGGCCAAGATGCGTCCGCCCCAAGCCATGCCCATGCCCTCAGGCGGCTGCGTAGTCGGAGATGACGTCGCAGTATGGTGTTCCCAGGGGACAATGGCCTCGCAGACAGGCGGTGTGCTCCTCATGCCGGCGGGCAAGCCCCCGCAGCGGGTGGTGTCCGGCTACTACGGCCACGACTTCAACTCCCCGCACAGCGCCGCCGTCTCGCCCCGGGACAACGGGATCTGGTTCACGGACCCGTGCTGCGGGCACGAGCAGGACTTTAGGGCTCGTCCTCAATTGCCGCCGCAGGTGTATCGTTGCGATCCGAAGAGCGGGGAGGTCAGGGCCATGGCGGATGGCTTTAAGCGGCCGACTGGGATCGCGATTGATGAGGCGTTTTCGACGGTGTATGTTGCGGATGCTGGTGGGGTGCGCGTTGACGGAAGTCTTGATTTGACCGAGTGAGTTCTTTGTTTCCCGCTTGCTGGAGTGATTTCCCGACACTAACTGGATGTTTCGAGACCGCGGAGTATCTACGCTTTTGATATCGTGGAGCGAAATGGTTCCGTGTTCCTGGCGAATAGGCGGCTTTTTGCCCTGGCCAAGAGGGGTGCTCCCATGCACCTCATGTGCGAGAACGGCAACGTGTGGGCAGCCTGCAGCGACGGCATTGAGATTTGGAGCGATGACGGTTCATTGATCGGTGTGATTTCGGTTCCAGGCAAGTTTTGACGAATTTCAATAGGAATTTGGGCTTGTGTTGCTCTAAACTATACTAACGTGGCATCTTTGATAGGTGGTGTCATGAGCTTCTGTCGCGGGCCAGATGACACGGTCTTTATTTGCGCCGAGCAGAGGTTGTGGAGGCTCCAGCTTTTGGGTGATTGCAGTGACCATTCAGTTGCTAGTCCGGAGTTGATTTAAGATACAGTCAAGCGACTGTGACACCCGAGATAAGTTTTGACTCTTCGAAAGTCCTCATGATTTCTATGCTTGCTTTCAAGGTGGCGAGGGAGTTGTCGGGAACATGGGTGTATAGTAGGCTCAAGAACTAGCGTGGAATGCATGTAGCGTCGTGAGACGACCTTGAATTCAGCCAGTAGTGTATTCGAATTAAGAAATGAAACTACCACTTGAGTGTGAAATAGTAGGCTTGGGTGTGGACATTGCTGTGGATGTCTGTGACTGCCTTGAAAAGTCGGCGTGGCCAAAGCAAAGTCTGAACATAACCCTAGTATGAGATTATTCCGTAGGTCTAGAGAAGCCTTCGAAAGCTAGACATATTGAACCTGACCAAGTCACTTCTTGAGTAATACGGCCATGAAAAATGGTAGTATTACACACGTATGGGCAAATATCGTCTAGCGATTGTTATGCGTTGGCTCTGAAGAGTCCGCATCATTCCACTGACAGGGAATGAGTTGGATTACTGATCAGACACTGCAAAAAGGCAATGACTACAAAACTGTGCTTCCTATGCGCTCTTAAAAAATTGACATACATAAGATGGCACAATCTAGTTTGTTGTGAGGAACTGATTCTTAGCTCTCTACCGAGTCTTGGTCACATATGCTTGCAGCTGATGAGACCGCTCATGAATATTTCCACTTCTACTAGAGAATCCAGGGTTGGCGCTCTGCCTGGTGGGTGTGCCCGTGGATACCAAAACGGCTCGCTCTGAACGAATATCGAAGTTAAATTTGGAGGTGTTGGACACTTTAGCGAATGGGATAGCTCGGTTTCCACGTAGAACGTCGATGTTGGAAATTGATAGATGTACTCCTTGTTTGTCATAAAGTGTCTTGTCTCAACGCAGTCAATTTCATAATCTCTTTTTTCGGTGCAGGGAGTGAGTTATGTCTCCGTTTCAATCTATCGCATTAGTATCCTAGCAGTGTCCCAGCTTGATGTCCTAACGGTAAGGGATCTTGCGCTGTAACCTCAGGAAACGTAAGCTCGTATGGGTGTTGTCGGCGGAGCAGTTGTTTGCGCCGATCTTATGAACGAAGAAACGGACAACGAGAAGATCCACAGGTCGAAAGATCACAGCGGGTCAGCGGTCTCAATGACCGTTAAGTTTTGAGCTCAATGGCCTGGTACTATTATAATCGTTTCAATAGTTACTACCTCCATCATAAGATTCTCTAAAAACCTCCTTGTCCAGTCGTATCTAGCCTTCTACATACCCCAAACTCCTGCAACATATGCCCAACGACAACCATGCCCCCTATCGCAGGAGTAAAGCAAATCGCTGCCCCAATTATGACATATAGATAGAACGAAGTCTCGATGATGCGGAAATACTTCGCAACTAACCAGTCTATCGCCCGCTGCATGAAAGTCGCCCTGTCAAGAGCATATGCTATCGCATCATTGGCACGAATTTTGTAGACGCCGTGTATCTCGGAGGGAAACACCGTGAGCATCCTGATGACCGGGCCCATGACGATGCCAAAGATGAGCCAACTGAGAATCCATACTTGCTGGTAGATGTTACTGTGTCCAGGGCTGAATCCAGTCACGCCCGCGACGAGGATAGCTGGCACCAGAAGAAGTACCGTTGTGACGGCAAAGTACGACGCATGGGCAGCTTGAGAGGGCCAAAACGTCCTCAACGGCTCCTTGATACTATCAAGGTCGACGCTGGCAACCATGCCGGAGAACCTGCCCCCCAACCTCTTCGCCTTGTCGAGATCGGGGGTATGTACAAGGTAAATACAATTATATTCCGGCGTCACAAGCAACGCAATCAAGTTGACGAGAGACATGAACGCATACGGCGCCACAGTCACCCCAAAGGCAGCATACCCATATCTCTGGAGCTGGTCGCCCTGTGTGCGGTAGACGGTCGTCACGCCCCACGCGGCTTGCCCCAGGGCAAATAAGGCCTTGGGGATGTTGTACGTGCTACCAAGCTGAATGTTGGAGCGATCTAGGTGCGCGGCTCCTGAGCCCGGCGGCGGCATCAACGGCGTGCCGACGGGCACCTCGACCAAGATGAAGCCCTTGGGCAGGACGCAGGTCCCGTGGATGGTACGGGACGAGTGTACCCATCGACCGGCGCCGCGAAAGCGAGACCGATACCATGAGGGGGTGGGAATATCGTACCTTTTGGCATGGACAAAGTTAGTCATAGGAACACATGCCTAGTGATTTGAAATGCTGGAATACTCCAAATCAGAACATGTTGCACAACGTACCAGCTTCGCGCCCTCTCAAAGTTCATCCGCCTCAACGACCTTTCGATCCACGAGACCTTGGATCTCTCCGTCTCGTCGACGACCATGCACAGCGCGCCGGCCCTAATGGCACGGCTGAGCTCGTCACGCCTGACCGTGCCGGCGTGGGAGAGCAGCCAGCGGGCGGCGCGCAGAGAACCGGTGCTGGGTAAGAACAGAGCCGTCAGGACGGTGAAGCAGGTCTCGAGGATGGACTCGCCGGGCCGGCTGGGGAGGGTGAGGGCGTGGACAAAGTAGTTTGTTGCGTAGAAGATGACAAAGTCGGTCCAGATGGGAGGCGTGCAAATGAGTCTTGGGTCGCCGTGGTTGACGGTTCCCGGTGGGACGGTGATGGTGATGTTCATGGTTCGGACCTGGGGTTTGGTATTATCCCAGAGGCATGTCCTTGGAAGGGCAACTTTGGCAGGCTGCTTAGTGTGAGAGGATATCTAGAAGGAAACGAAGAGGCGTATGACGAGTGGATGAAGGGGTTGAATCCCGGGGCACCGCGGTCCCGCAGACAGACAGTCTACGCTGCTTGACAAGAAAGCCCAGCTTTCTCAGAGACGACTCGTAGATTCAAAGCCTTTGCTGGATATGTGATCTCTGTAAGTCGACAGAACTCAGCTGTTCGTATATCGTGTAAGCCCGTCACACCAGGCAGTGACCTGTAATGAGAGAAGAGAAAACCACATCGTCGCCGAGTAAGTCTCACGCAAATGGACATGACAAAATCCCGAATTCCCATCACACATGAACGTCAGGGGCGAATAGGAAAGATCCGACGGCTGAGTCTACCGAGATGATGTTGAAACGACTTCACAGCTCAGACTGGTCGGATTGACTGTTCCTATTCGCCAAAAGTTCAGCAGAGATGGAACAAGCTCCGGTGCATAGAGACGCTGCAGCCAGCAAGACCCTGGCTCTCGGCAGGGCTTATCTTATCAGTTGCGAGCACCTTAGTCAGCAGGGTTCACTTTAATGAGACGCGTCGAGACGCGTCTTCCGCGGGGCATTCCATTTTGTAGGAGACATCTCAATTTCAAGAAACCCCCAGAAGCTTGCTTCCTTTCCCCATACCTTGCACGCAACAATGGCACCTGCAGCTGTCGAATCCGCAAACATGTCTGTTACCGAGAACCCTACGAAGCAGAATGGTGCTGCCCCCGCCAAGCGCCATGAGGAATACCAGTACCTTGATCTCGTTCGCGAGATCCTCGATGAGGGCGAGCACCGCCCGGACAGGTAAGCAGAAGAAATCAAGCACAAGCACCTATGACAATGAGTTGACACAGTTACCAGAACTGGCACCGGCACCTACTCCATCTTCGCTCCGACTCCCCTCAAGTTCTCCCTCAATAAGGATGGCGAGCCCCTCCTTCCCCTCCTCACAACGAAGCGTGTCTTCCTCCGCGCAGTCATTGCCGAACTCCTGTGGTTCGTCGAGGGCAACACATCATCGCTCGCCCTGAGCGAAGCAGGCGTCAAAATCTGGGACGGCAACGGATCGCGCGAGTTCCTCGACAGCGTCGGCCTCTCACACCGCGAAGTCGGCGACCTCGGCCCCGTCTACGGCTTCCAATGGCGCCACTTTGGCGCTGAGTACGTCGACTCCAAGACGGATTACACAGGCCAAGGCGTCGACCAATTGGCCGAGGTCATCCACAAGCTCAAGACGAACCCCTACGACCGCCGCATCCTCCTCAGCGCGTGGAACCCAGCGGACCTCAAGAAGATGGCCCTCCCACCGTGCCACATGTTTGCGCAGTTCTACGTCTCGTACCCGCGCGCCCGCGGCACCACGACGCCCGCAAACGGAGAGGAGCAGACGAAGCCAAAGGGCCACCTGCACTGCCAGCTGTACCAGCGGTCCTGCGACATGGGACTCGGCGTGCCCTTCAACATTGCCAGCTACGCGCTCCTGACGCACATGATTGCGCGGGCGTGCGACCTGGTGCCGGGAAGCCTCACGCACGTCATGGGCGACGCGCACGTATACGCGGACCACGTGGACGCGCTCAAGGTGCAGCTGGAGCGCGAGCCGAGAGACTTCCCCTTGCTGGAGATCAACAACAGGGAGCCGGGGTGCAGCATTGACGGGTGGAAGGTTGAGGATTTTGTGGTCAAGGGGTATGAGCCGCATAAGACGATTGCCATGAAGATGTCTGTGTGAGAGTGACGAGGCCTATGCGTCGCGGCGCGCGGGGAGGGGATGACAGTTCTTTTTGTGTTTTCTTAATCTTTGAGGGAGGGAGGGGGGTCTGATTTTTGGCTCTTTGGTTGGCTCGGCATTGGGAGTTGGGATTGGGACTTGCATTAATGAAGTGCGACACACCCTCAGCATGTGGCATGAATATGAGAGAGGAATAATCAGCATTAGGGAAAAGTACGGATAGCGTCTTTCCTTATATAGATAGACTTTGACAATTGACATTGAACGGCGAGCTTGCTTGATTTGCATTGTCCTTGATGAAAAGGAATTGGCCATTCTGTGTTTCCTGGAGTGAACTGCATTGGATCATCAATTCCCGTTTACTGGCATTACGCCGAATGCATGTCCGATGTCAACAGAGTGATCCAATTGCAAAACGGATATGAAACTTATCCGTAAATGACAGCTGCGAATTGATGCAACCCACGCAGAGGAGCCTGGGCCAGTCACACCGAGAGTCCGGGCGCCTGAAGTCTACGGAAGGTTGGAGAGCAAAGGAGGCGTGGGAGGGTACCTTAATGGAGGGCCATTGTGGTACCGGGGTGCTTGCAGTTGCAGCTCATTGGATGCATAAACAAGTGACATGCAACCTTGGCGGAACTGGTGGGTTGGCTGAATAAGCCGTGCAACACTCGCAATTCGTACGGCCCTCGCTTCGCCTTGCAGCTAAACACTTGCGCTTTCCCACATTTCCCCTCTCCCAGCTTGCTCCCTCCTCTTCCTTAACCAAAACTCCCTCCCCTACAACCACTTCGTAAACGGATACAACGATTCTTCTAAACTACACGACGACACACCCTGACCACTCGGCCCCCCCCTTCATCCGATTAAACATCCTTCCCCCCGCGTCTTGCACATATTCACATTACCTCAATACACGGGCTTTGTTGCGAGGACCTAAACCCCCGTTCGTCGCAAATCGCGGTTCCGGTAGTGGTGGACGCGCGCGTCGAGGCATCGGGAGGATAGTCACCAAAACGGAAGAGGAGCGAGAAAAAAAAAAAAGTAGTCTTTTTCCGTCCACCATGTCGGACCACGACCACACCCAAGACGCACACCACGACGCCGCCCACGAACTCCACCACGCCTCCCAACAACCCGACGTCCTCCCCGGCGGCCCGGACCCGGACATCACCGGCAGCCCCGTCGGCGGCACCCCCAAGGAGCGTCACTCCCTCACCCTCGACCAGCGACGCGCCCTCCGCCGCTGGGCCAACGCCCAGACGATCCGCCCCAGCCATAAGGCCTGCATCGACTGGTTCTACGCCCAGTACGGCCAGCACATCTCCCAGTCCACCGTCTCCCACTCTCTCAGCCCCAAATACTCCCGCCTCGATGGCGACAACCCCCAGCTGAGCGGCAGCCGTCTGCGCTTCGGCAACTGGCCCGACGTCGAGAAGCTTGTCCTGCGATGGTACCAACAGGTCCAGGCTACCGGCCGCCACCCGACCAACGAAGAGCTCGGCGAAAAGGCAAAAGCAATCTTCACCGCCTTGCCGCGCTACAAAGATGAGACGCCCCCCGAGTTCTCCCCCGGTTGGATCCACCGCTTCAAGAAGCGCTACGGCCTGCTCATACGCCGCCAACGCCGCCACGGCGACGGCGGCATCAACCCGGCCGAAGACATTGCCTACCTCGCCGACTGCGTGCCCCGCCTCATGGCCCTCTCCGCCGAAACCTCCCCCGCCGCCATCCGCGAAGCCATCCTCCGCGCCCTCGGCGTCGAAGCAAGCCTCCAAGTCTGCGCCCTCGTCCGCGACGAGGTCCTGCGCCGCTTGAGCGCCGGCGGGCCCGCGACGACGACGAATCCAATGTCCCCCACCTCGGGCGTCCAACACAGCCCCGACCCCCACAGCGCCGACACAAGCCTCGTCGGCCCGCCGCCCCCGCCCCCGCCCCCGCCACCGGGGAGCGACACGCCCATGTACGGCGACGAGGACCCAGACATTGTCCTGCAGAACGCGCTGCGCCAGCTGCAGCAGGAGGAGGCCGAGGCCGAGGCCACGGCGGCGGCGGCGAGAGAGGAGCGCGAGCAGCGGGAGCGCGCGCAGGGGACTGCTGCTGCGGCGCTCGCGACGCCTGCCGTGCAGAGGGTCGTGTCTGCGTCGAGCCGGTTTATGCCGTCTACGCCGGAGCTGAACCTGACGCCTATTAAGAATGATGATCCGGTCTCGGCGAACGAGAGACCGTTGCGGTGCCCGTTTTGTGTCAATCAGCGGATGCTCAGGACGATTAAGGAGGCTGTTGAGCATATGTCTACGCATGTTGTGGTCTAAGGGCCACTTGATTGCAAAAGACTGGGCATAACATTGATAGGGGTTGGCAAAAGGGGAGCGAAGTGACTGTTGAATGGAAAACAAAAACCCCCCAGCGAGGAATATCTCGAGAATTGGTAGTGAGCACCGAAGCATCTCAGGAGGACTATAGAAGGCGATGGACCAGTCACCACTTTCACAAAACAAAAAAAGCTCTTTGATATCGGATAGGGGAATGGGAAGGTGCTGCAGGTATCGAGGGAAGAAGAAACCCAAGTCACGTTGCGCATGTGTAGTGTGTATATATATATATATATATGTATGAGTGTTGGGCGGGGAGACGGGGGCTGCTACTTTACCCTAGGTATCATCACAAAGTACCTTAATAATGAATCGTATAAACGTCAAAATCTAGCAGCTATCTATGAACTTGCCGTCTGTATCTCGCCACTTGTCCCATCCTAAATCATTCATCAAAACACAAAAAAGCGGAAAGCTCGGCCCCCTAGATTAGTAGAGAAAGCCTCAGAAAGATCCGAGGACACGCTTACGAGCATCAGGTGTAACGATGCAAGTATGGTTTAACAAAGACGGAAGACGGGACGCGAACCCGGAATGCATAGGTGCGGGAGTAATTCAGAAACCAAGGGACTGTTCTCCGCTACGTTATGGGTCTTGATGATGGAATGAGGTGGTGTTGTTTATTGTAGGGGCAAACGAGGGTGGGTGAGGGTTGGAATGTGCCAGACACGGACGGGTGGGCTGTAACGTATATTCACTTGTGGGGCAAGGTGAGGTTTAAGGAAGGATGGGGGGGTCGCCTACACGCCATCGGCTCGTGCACATCGTCAGCATCATCACGTTTAAGAAAAGGATTCGTTGAACAGGCTCGTCTTGATTCATCTCTGGCTAAAATACGGGTATAGGGCCCATCCCTTGCCCGTCTGTCCGAACCTCATCCGCATTCGTCCTAATGTTCGTTCGATCATCATCAGAGGGGCTCCCTTGAACCGGTCTTTTCCCCCGTGCACTTTGCGCGAGAAATCATGATCAGACCGCCCAAGGGAATTCCTGTTGAGAAAGGGCTTCATGCTAAAATAAAAATTGTGACGACTCAAGTCAGCCGTCTGACCAATAAACGCCCGCCAATGTCCTCTCTCCGTGGTCCTCGTGGTGGAAACAAATCCGTCTTGCGTCTTTTTGAGAAACTCTTTGACAGACGTAAACCCTCGAGGGCTGTATCAAAAGTTCTTTTCCCCCATCATCAACGTCAATAACCATCAAAAAGAAAATCGTAAGTGGGGGCTCCTGTCGAGGGCCAAAGAAGTGTTTAAAAAAAAAAAAAAAGGGAGCGTAGCCGCTTGTGCGAAGGAGAGTCGATCCACTGGCGCATCATGGTCGTATATCGAGTCCAGCTACTAGGAGAAAACAATATAGAAGTGAAAATCAGCCATCGCCTGTGTAATAAGACAGTAGATAGCAACGCGTCGCGTGCGCTGGGAATCATGAAGTGAGAATGCAATGGCGGGTGGGGTATGCTTTTGTCTCTCAAGTAGTTGCGAAAACCATCTAGGAAAAAAAGTTCGAGCCGAATAGCACCTTGTTGAGCCTTAGACCTGTTCGACATATAGAAGGAGCTTCTCGTTCCTTTGCAAGGCGTAGTCGAGGTCGTTATCGCTCATGAGGTTAGGCTTGTCGCCGGTGGGCTCGTCCTTGTAGAAAAGCTGGATCTCTTCGCCTACGGGGATCTTGAGTCTGTCAACAATCTTGTCGTACAGCTGCTGGAATGAAATGTCTGTCGCGACTCGGATCGCAATAAGATCGCCGTTGAAGTAGAGCTTGATTTTCATGGCTTGAACTTGACCCTGGCCGATGGCAGGTGAAGGCTGCGACTGCGAAATAGACGATGGCTGCCGGTTCATTCCGGGCTGACCCATCGCTCGTTGTTGAGCACCGTAGCCATTGCCGTTCAGGTTGTTCTTGGACGATTGTCGTGAAGCCGCATCTGCTGGTGATTCGTTCGATGAAGGCTGCGAGCCGCCCGATAGTCGGTATTCGTCGTTCGGCGCATTAGGATCGATTTCGTAGTCGCCTTCCCTGGGAGCGAAGAATTGCTTGACGAGAGTACACCTTGCGATGTAGGCTGGCTGCGCGAGGAGGTTCTTGACGTAGGCATCCAGGTTGTGTAGCCGGCCTTCCGTGATTTGGTCTGTGACATAGTTTACCGGACCCGGCATGTAGGGAAGTGTGCGCTTTTGCGTGCCGGTGTTTCCTGCCTCGGCGGGGAAGTCGGTGAGCAAGGCAATCTGGAAGTCGTAAAAGTCTTCGTAGTATCTGGACAATTCCCAGTGGCGGCCATCCTCCAGCACTGCTTCAATGACGAACCAGTACTTGTCTTCCGCAAAGCAATATCTCGGAATACGGGCTGAGATGGGAGCATAATGCTGCGACGCTGGTTTGGCGTAGGGGCTCGGTTGGGCAGCTTGTTGAGAGTTGCGTGATTGCTGGTGCCCAGCTTGTTGTTGCTGCTGTTGTTGCTGTGTCACGAGCGTTAGCCTTTAGGATTACAAGAGAGAGGACGTGGAGAAACGTACATAGTTGGCACCGTTCTGTGAACTGGTGCGCCCGCCGCCTTGTTGAAGACTCATGCGTTCCATTCCTTGCTCGATGGAGCCGCCCTGTTGCGGTTGACCATTGTCGAACTTGCCCAGTGTGATGCTGCTGTTCTTGTAGTCGGCCGCCATCTTTTTCCATTCCTCGACCTTGGGAATGCCGGCCTTCTTTATGGCACCGGAGGCGTCTCCAACGGCGGTATCCGTCGCCATGTCGCGTATTTCGACAAAAGATACGGGTATCAAGCCGGGTCCTCCTAGTCTGCCGATAGGCTTGGCGACAAACCACTCGGGGTTGGATTGAGCAATGACGATGATGGCCTCGCCAGCCTTGGCCTCCAACTCGTCGGCGCGCTCCGCCACAAAGTCGTACATGACGATACCGTAAACCAT